TAGTACTCTTAACCACTGAGCCACCTTTCTAGCCCCCAGAATTTCAGGTTTATACTGAGGTCTTTGCTCCATTTGGAGTTGATTTTTGTGCTAGGTAAGAGATAAGGATCTAGTTTTATTATATGTGGACATCCACAATTCCCAACACCAGTTGTTGAAGATGTTGTCTTTCTTTTAGTATGTATTTTTGACATCTTTGTCAAAATGTGGCCATAACTGTGTGAACTTAAGTCTGGGCCTTCTAGTCTATTGATTTGAATGTCTGATTTTGTGTCAGTATCATACTGTTTTTTTTTATTACTGTGGTGTAATAGTATATCTTGAGTTCAGGTAAGGTAATCTCTCCCACATTATTCTCTTTTTAAAAATATTTTATTTGTTATTTTTATTTTATGTGTATGAGTGTATTGCCTACGTGTATGTGAGTGCACCTGTGTCATGCAAAGCTGCAGAGGTCAGAAGAAGGCTTTGGATTCCCCTGGAACTGGAGTTAAGGATGGTTCATAGGTGCCATGTGGGTGCTGGAAATGGAACCCGGGTCCTCTGCAAGAGCTGTCAGTGCTCTTAACTGCTGAGCCGTCTCTCCAGCCCTGTGCACTATTTTTTTACTCAGGATTTCTTTGAATCTCCAGGGTCTTTTGTGTTTCTATACGAATATAATTTTTTTTCCTATTTCTGTGAATAATGTTTTGGGGATTTTGATTGAGATTGTATTGAATCTGTAAATTGCTTTTGGTAAGATGGTCATTTTCACAATATTAATTCTACCAATCCATAAGCAAAGAAACTCCATCTTCTAGTGTCTTCCTCAATTTCTTTCTTCAGAGATTTAAGGTTTTCATTGTAGAGGTCTTTCACCTCCTTGTTTAGGTTTATTTGGAGGTTATTTATTTATTTATTATTTATTTCTAGTACTATGAATGGGATTGTTTCCCTAATTTATTTCTCAGCGTATTTGTTATTGGTACATAGAAAGGCTACTGATTTTTTTTTGAATACTACCACTTTGCTAAAAATATTGATCAGTTCTAGGGGTTTCCTGGTGGAGTCTTTGGGGTCTCTCATATATAGTATCATATTATGTACAAACTTGGATAATTTGACTGTTATTCATATTTGTGTCCCTTCTTATTGTTTTAGCTGGGACTTCAAGCACTGTATTGAATAGGAGTAGAGACAGTGGACAATGTTCATGATCTTTTATGGGATTGCTTTGAGTTTTTCTTCATTTAAGACGATGTTGGCTGTGGGTTTATCACATTTAGGTTTATTATGTTCAGGTATGTTTGGTTGTAGTACTTTAATGTTGTGGTAGAATTCTGTTGTAAATCCATGTAGAACGGGGCTATTTTTAGTGGGTTACTTTATTACTGCCTCAGTCCTCAGATATTCTTTCTTCTATGTGATCCATTCTGTTTTTGACACTTTCCACTGTGTTTCTAAATTGACATTAAAATGTTCATTTCTAGTTTCATTCAGTTTGGATTTCTTCAGTGTATTTATCTCTTAATTGAATTCACTTTTTGTATACCGAGTTCTCTTCATTATTTCAATTAGCCATTTGTGTTTTCTTGGATTTCAATCAGGAATTTATTTTTGCTCTCTTTAGATTCATTCATGTCCTCTTTGAACTTGAACTCTGTCAACATGTTTATAACTCTTTCAAATTCAGTGTCTTGAGATTTAAGGTTTTTCATCTTTGGTGACTTTTACAATAGGCCTGAAAATCTTTGTGGGAGACACATTTTCATATTGGTTGTGTTTTTTCCATGGGACTTGGGCATCTGGAGTTAGAGTGTATCTTTTGCTATGAGTTTCTAGCCTACCTGAGGTGAGTAGGACTTTGGTTCTGTTTTGCTGTTACCCCTATTTGGCTGGTTTTGGAACAGGTGGTAGGATCTTGATGCTCAGTCTTTCAGACACTTTGTATTGATTTGTGAATGGAGAGGCTGGGGCGATTGCAGTTCACTGGCTATCTGGAGATTGTTGGGGTCCTGCCAGCCACAAGTGCACCACTTGGGTAAGGTCCCAGAGAGAGGGCATTGTGATACTAAAGGGATCTAACCACCAGAAGCCACATCTGTGGCTGCTTGGGCAAGGTCTTTGGGGAGGCAGCCTCAGAGTGCGGCCAAGAAACCTTACCACAGGTTGCCAAAAGTATGTGGCTCTTGGGAAAAGTTTCCAGACAGGCAGCAGGGTGGAGTCAAAGGGTCTTACCACCAGTGGCCATGTGCGTGGTTGCTTAGGCTGGGTCCTGGGGCAGGAGGTTGGGTGAATTAAAGGATCTTGTATTGGCTGCTGCTTGAGCAATTGCTTGGTGAAGGTCCCTGGTGGGTAGGGGATGGGGTTGAGGCAAATCAACATTTTAAAAAAATTAATGCTTTTAGTTATATATTTATTTGTAAGGCAGTGAATTTAATTTTTATGCATGTGTATGTGGTGTGTGTGTGTATGTGGTGTGTGTGTGTGTGTGTGTGCATGTGTATATGCATGTTTGTGTATAGAGACCTAAAATTGATATAAGGTATCTTTCTTGATTGTTCTCCTCTATTTATTGAGGCAGGGTCTCTCACTGGACCTGAGCTCCCTGATTCTAACCAGTATAGCTATCCAACTTGCCTCAGGGTTCTGTGTAGCTACTTTATCCACTGAGCCAGGTTCCCAGACCATAAACTCCATTTGTTAAAAAAAAGTTTCATAGGGGCTAGGGAGATGGCTTAGTCAGTAAAGTACTTGTAGCACAAGCATGAGGATCTAGTTGGATCCCTAGCACCCATGTAGAAGCCAGGCACAACAGTGCATGTCTGTAACCCCAGCGCTGGGGAGGCAAAGACAGGATGATTTCTTAGACTTGGTTGTTGCCTTCTGACCTCCACATGAATTTGCATACATCTTCATGCACATCTGTACATGCACATGAGCATGCACACACATGCTACATACACACACACAAATAAAAAATTTAAAAATTAAAAAAAATTCTATCTTCCATTTGCTGAGTATATCCATATGTGCTTTAAACCACAGAAAGAATTCAAAGTTTACATTCAGTAAACTTGGTACCTTATCATGAAACAAAGAAAGAAGTTTTTTGTTTGGTAAAACTTTTTCAAGTTTAATTTGCATTTGTGGGTCTTCAAGAAGCAATTAAAAAGCCCTATGTGTAATTTCATGATAATATTATAGCTTGCTTTGCTATTTATGGGACCCTGTTTAAAAATGTGGGATTCAAATATTGATTAAGTCATTACCAACATTAGAGCATTCAGCTACAGCAGTTTTTTAAGTGGCTAAGTAGGAGAAGTGGCATATTTGTAACATATATTTTCATTACCCAGTACTCTTTCTATAAAGTAGTGCCATAGCCAATGTTTCCATATAAGCACACAGAGTAAGAGGTGTTTTTTCAATACATATTTTTATTGAATTTTTGTGCATTTCATACAAAACATCTTAATCACATGTAGACACCCTCCCCTATCTGCACTCCTTTATCGCTATCCCCCCACACTGAATTTCATACATTCTGTCATATATCTTAAGGCTTATCAAGACAAGTTTTTGTCCCCACATGTCTCTTGGTGTGAGTTCATCTACTGGAGCTTGGACAGCCTATCTAGCATCATACTCTTAAAGAAGACCAACTCTCCCTCACTCAGCAGTGATCAGCTGCCAGTAGTTTCTCAGCTAAGGTTGGGGCTCCTTACCCATTTCCCCATTTATATGCTGGGTTTTTGTCTGGTTTGAGTTTGCATGGGTCTTGTGCATGCTGTCACCATTGCTGTCATTGCATATGAGCAAGTTCTTCACCATCTGGAAAACTTTGTTTCCTTGTGGTCATCCACCACCCCTGGCTCTTACAGTCTTTCAGCCCCCTCTTCTGCAATGATCCCTGGGCCCTGGATAGGTGAGGTTTAATAAATATAGGAGTCCTATCCAGGGACAGGCACTCTTCAGTCTTTTATTCTCTACAGTTTGGTCAATTGTGGCTTTCTGTGTTAATTACTCTCTGTTGCATGAGGAGGCTTCACTGGTGAGAGTTGAGAGATGCATTAATATTCTCTTGGCCCCCTGTTCCACTATGTTCCTTGAACCTTAGGTGTAGAGGTTCCACTGTAGATGTGCATCTTAGGGCCGGGCATCTCACAGACATTTATTCTCTGTGTGTGATAAGTTGTGGAACTCTGTAACAGAAGCTTCTTTGATGAGTGGTGAGAGGTATACGTTGCAAATTTCATGATTTTTTTTTCTTTTTAAAAATTATGTATTTATTTCTATTTATGTACATGAGTATTTTGCCTGCATGTATATCAGTGCACCCATGTCCTGCAATGCCCACAGAGGCATTGGATCCCCTGGAACTGAACTTACAAATGGTTGTTAGCCACCATGTGGGTGCAGTCAGTGCTCTCGACTGCTGAGCCATCTCTCTAGCCCCAATTTTGTTTTTCTTAAGTGTTTTTTTAAACTAATAAGAGTTTTTGTGTATGTGTATATGGTGTGTGTGTGTGTGTGTGTGAATATGGGTGCATGCACTCTGTGGCATACATGTGGAAGTCAGAGGACAACTTTCAGGTGTGTGCTCTCCTTCCATCATGGGTTCCAGAGATTAAACTCAGGTTGTCAGGCTTTCCAAGAAAGCACTTTTATCCACTGAGCCATCTTACTAGCCCAGGAAATAGATTTAATTATAGGCGTTAAATCAAAACATATCCCACAAAACTAAAAAACAACAACAAATGGCTGGGTGTGGTGGTGCATACTTTGAATCCCAGCACTCAGGAGGTAGAGGTAGGCCAATGTCTGTGAGATGGAGGCCAGCCTGGTCTACATAGTGAGTTTCAGGCCAGCTGGGGCTACAGGGAGATTCTGTCTCAACAAATGAACAAACAAAAAAAAGCCCCTCATGAAACAAAACCCCAAACATACCCCATAGTACAGCCACCCCTCAGTAACTTCACATACAAAGTGCCCATGAAAATGATTTGGAGAAAGAATACCTTCTTCACAGTTATGATGCCAACTTGGAAATTTGGGTCCGTGTTAATATCAAAAGCATCTGCACCATCTCCATCCACAATAGTATATTTCATCTCTGCATTGATTCCTTCATCCAGGTCCTTGGCAAACACTCTCCCCACAGTGGAGCTAACTGGAGCAGATTCCAGCACACTCATCTGATAGTGTTCTGTGAAGAAGAGCAGGAGCATGAATTCTTGATAATCTGCCACTACAAAGCATGCCTTGTCATCATCACATTATGTCAGGCATACCATGCAAGAACATTTTTCTTGGTTCATGAATTAAAGATTGAGTTTTACAGTTGAAAATTTCGGTCCAGAGAGTCCACAGGTCATAGGCTGTGCTAAAGGTTCAACAAGGAGAAGTCAAAATTTCTTGATTCTGATCCTCAGAGTAAGATAAGGTAAAGGTGAAATTGTTCTCACCCCAGTCAGTCTACTTTCAGAGTAGTAGGAAGTACCTTGCTTCCCAATCTTCAGTATGCCCTAATGAATAGGAATAGTTCTTCCAAATATCAGGGTTTTTTTTTTTTTCTAAGCAAGAAAAAGCATGTGATCACAAAGAACTTATTTATTCTGTAGTATTTCAAAGGCTCACATTTCCCTTCATGTCCTGTCCAATATGCTGAGGTCACACCTGGCCAGAGTGACTGGAAACCAGTCATCTGTAGGGGAGAAACAGAGAGCAAGCCCCAAGTGCGGTCCATTATTGTGGCTTTGCAGCTGAGGCTCTCTGGCTGCCTCTCCATTGACAGACCCCTGATGCTTCTTGTTCTAGTTCCAAAATCAAAGACCAAAAAATGTCTGCCACATATAAGAAACTCAGCATTAACAATGCTCTCCTTTTTGAGTTGATGTCCTGACTCATAATTGAATTTAGTTTATTTTCATCTCTTTGAAGTTGTTCTTTGCTAATTTTTCTTTTCTGGGACCCAGCTTCTTGACATTCTTTGTTATTTTATCAATCATAGACTTAACACAAATCATGCACATTTTTAATATGTTTGTGGTCTCTGTTATTTTTATAATTTATTCATTTCTATTTGTTTCTCCCTCTGTGTATGTGTACATGCATGTATGAATTTATGGGCATCACATGCATGCAGGTGCCCAGGGAGGCAAAAGGGCATTAGATCTCCTGGAACTGGAGTTATAGGTGATTGTGAGCCACTTGATGTGGGTGCTGAGAACTGAACCAAGGTCCCTTGCAATAGTAGTAAACACTTAACCCCTGAGCCATCTCTCCAGCCTTTCTTTTATTTTAATATACCCTATGAGCCTGAGGCCAGGGGCTGAGGTTTCACAAAAATTTGGGGAGGCTGATGACTTATTGTACCCCACCTTACAGAGGAGAAGAATTAATATTTGCCCTTACAACTATGAGCAGTAAATCTCTACTGTGCTGTGAAAAGTCAATGGGCTGCACTTCCTTTTTTACAGAAATTTTTGGGAAATGAGTATCTGTGTATAATTTTCTCCACACCAGGAAAGCTATGCCGTGTTTAAACATATGTCTATAATTTCTACAAGTGATGTATTGTATTAGAAATAAAAAGCTTCAGGAGCTAGAGAGATGGCTCAGCGGTTATTTTTATTTCATATGCATGAGTATATTGCCTGCATGTGTATAAATGTCATGCAATGCCCACAGAAGTCAGAAGAGGGCATCTGATTCCCTTGGAACTGGAGTTACAGACCATATTTAGCTCCCAGTACATGTATCATTTTGTCAACATTTTACAGTCAATTATGACTCTATTTCTGCAAAGGAGGCCAAATGAAATTCATACAATAAGGAATCAGAAGAATAAAAGGGCGTAAGAGTTAATCCAAGATAGGATTAAGGAATATTGAAATCATTGAAATATAGCTTTCACAAATAAATGGGGAAATATTTAATGATGAGTTAAAGTAATTTCTTTGAAAAGTGCAAAAATATTGACAGCTTTAGTGGACCCACTATTAATGTGTGAAGAATGTTTAGAGACTCAGATTTGAATTATGTCATACGGCTCCATTTTTTTCTTCCAGGAAATGTGTTCCATCCTCCACTCCACCCTAAAAGCTCAATTATTACTGAATTTGAAACAGATACTTCACAAGTATAGTCTATAGTCTAAGTACACCTTAGAATAATGTTAGCATTTTAATTTGGGGTGAGCCTAAATTCCAGTCCTCTTCGTATTGTGTGATGCTAAAAAGAAGCTTCCATGTTTGAAGTGACAACACTTACACACAGCATGTCAAAATTCCTATACTTTTGAGCTTTGTAATAATTCGGTTCTTCTGCCTCCTCTCCCCTGCCTCCAACAGGGATGTCCCATGTGGTATCAAATTTGAAAAGTCAAATAGTTTAAGTATGTTAAAAAATCCACAGTGTACATACAGTGTACACAGTGAAAGTCACTCATGATCCAAAGATGGAATCCACAGGATCAGCAAAGCCACACAGAGCACTTCATATGGCATTCCACAAACTTTTCCATGTTGCACAGCATTCTGATCTGTAAACCAGTCAACTTAATAACCTATGTATTTGTACAATTTGTGAGATGTTTATCTAGGAGTCTCTCTTTCTTACTTTTTTTCATGAATGGTCATGGGAACTGTGCTGAGTAGTTTTTTTTTTGTTTGTTTTTTGTTTCTGTTTTGTCAACTCGACACAAACGAGAGACACCTGGGAAGAGGGAAACTCAGCTGAGGAATTTCCTACTTTCCTACATCAAACTGGCCAGTAGCCATGTCTGCAAGACATGTATTTTTTTTTTGCTTTTTGACAGAGTCTCCCTAGTCTCAGCCCACCCAGAACTCACTATATACACCAGGCTGGCCTCAGTCTCACAGAGATCCTCCTGACTGCCTCCTGAGGGCTGGGATTAAAGGTGCAGGCCACCATGCCTGGCGTTGTAAGACATTTTCTTAATTGGTGATCCGTGAAGGAGGGCCCATTCCAATGAGGACAGTGCCATCCCTGGGCAGGGGGGCCTGGGTTGTGTGAGGTAAGTAACTGAACAAGCTAGCGAAGCAGGCCGGTAAGCAGTGTTCCTTCATGGCCTGTGCTTCAGTGCCTGCCTCACAGGTTTCTGCCTGGAGTTCCTGTCCTGACTTCCTTCAGTGTTGGATTGTGACCTGGGAACTGTAAGCTGAAATAAACCCTTTCCTTCTCAAGTTAGTTTTGGTCAGTGTTTTATTACAGCATCAACAATCAAACTGGAACAGGAACCTTTTGTATACAGTTGCAAGTCACTATTCGAGCTCTTTAAGGGTCACTTACTCTGGTTGATTCAAAGTATTAGCTATTCAGCTAATATTGTCTGGTTTGAGTCTGCTTCTACTATTTTTAGTTTAGTGGTGTGCGACTCTGTGTGTGTGTGTGTGTGTGTGTGTGTGTGTGTATGGGTGGATGTGTGTACACTTGAATGTGGAAGCCAGATATAAACCTTGGGTGTTATTCCTCATGTGGCAACCTTATTCTTTTTGAGACAAGGTCTCTCACTGACTTGGAACTTGCCAAGTAGGTGAGGCTAGCTGGCCAGGGAGTCCCAAGGATCTGCTTTTTCCAATTCCCCACCATCAAGATTACAAATCGGCACCACCACCCTAACCTTTTATTAATGTGAGTTGAATTTAGCTCCTCATGATTGTAAGACGTGACTCAGGTATCTCCCCAATTCCACCCTTCCTTCCTTCCTTCCTCCCTCCCTCTCTCCCTCTCTCCCTCCCTTCTTCCTTTCCTTCCATCCTTTGTTCCATTTTCTTTCTTTAAAAAAATAATGGGGGCTGGAGAGATGGCTTGGCAGTTAAGAACACTGGCTGTTCTTGCAGAAGACCTGGGTTTGAATCCCAGCACCCACATGGCAACTAACAACTGTTGGTAACTCCAATTCCAGGGGATCCACCAGCCTCTTCTGTCCTCGGTGGGGGGGGGGATTGCACGAAACAGGTGCACTTACATACATGCAGGCAATACAAGCAAACACATAAAATAAAAATAATAAAATATTAAAAAAATAAAATAAATAAAAATCCCTCTTTCCCCAGCTAAGTCTTCAACCTGGGATTGTGTCTGCTGTTCTGAATTCTCCAGTTTCCCCCTCAGGCACTCACTTTTCAAAGTCACATTTCTGTTCCTGGGCTCTGCTCCACCATCTTAGCTCTCTATTTCCACCTTCCTTAAGGACATTCAACCTGATTGTTCTGCTGTCACTTTGTATTCAAATCTGAATTTGTCTCCCTCTTCCCTGCCTCCAGTTCCATTATGCACCCTCTGTTTCCATCAGCAGTACAATCCTTCTCCCTGTCACACAGAGTGAAAACGTTGTTGTCTTTGACTCCACCTTAGCTCTGGTTCCCTTAGCCAAGAGGTAAGAGTCAGAACTCCATTGTTTCCTATTTGTCTCACCCCTCCCTGCCATTTCCTTAATTTCTTATCAGCTCAAGTTCAGACCACCCTGCAAGCCTCCTGTAAGGCCCCCTTGCTTCATCTCTGCTTTTGCTAATCTGTCTGAGCTGGATAGCTTTAGTGTCAACTTGATACACCTCGGTTGAGGGAGCCTCAATTGGGGGAATTGCCTCCATTGGACTGGCCTGCGGCCATGTCTTTGGAGGAATTTTCTTGATTATTGAATGATATGGGTGGGCCCAGCCCACTGTGGGTGGTGCCACCCCTGGGAAGGTGGGCCTGTGTTGCATAAGAAAGCAGGTTGAACAGGGGTCAGGGGAGTAAGCCAGTAAGCAGCATTCCTCCGCAGCCTATGTGCCAGCTCCTACTTCCAGGTTCCTGCCCTGAGTTCTTACCTTGGGCTCTCTGATGAACTGTGACCCAGGAAATGTAAGCTGAATAAACCCTTTCTTCCCCAAATTGGCATTGGTCAGTGTTTTGTCACAGCAATGGAGAAACAAACTAGAACACCATCCTTCAAGTTTCTTGCGAAAAATGATTCTATGAATTTCATTAGAAATACAGTATATGGAGCTGTAGAAATGGTTCAGTGGTTCTTTCAGAGGACCCAGGTTTGGTTCCCAGCACCCACATGGTGGCTTACAGCCACCAGTAACTTCATCTCCAGGGGATCTGATGCCTTCTTCTGGCCTCCATGAGCATTGTATACACATTATGCACACATTGAAGATCAAGAGTAGGTCTTGATTTTAGGAGTCTCTGAATATATAATGATGTATGCAGTTTTATTTCTAGACATATATGTATGATATTCACATATATGTATATAATGTATATATACATATAAAATATATTTGTTTTTCTTGCATGGAAGTTTCTCCTCAGGTGAATTCTAGTGCAGCAGACTCTGTTGCTTTGTGCAGGCCTGTGTGTAACATACCTCAGATAGTGTCTGTAACTGAAGTGTTTGAATGAATGTGGCTTCTTTCATCCTGGGATGTGCTCTTTTCTGCCTATATAAATCCTTCATATTCTACAGTCTCCTGTTCGATCTCATTCCCACATGAAGTCTTCATTCATCTCAGTTTGTTTAGAACAAGAAGCCAAACAATCCATACGCATTTCACTAACCATTCTATGCTTCTTAATTTTTCCATATTGTAGGACCAATCAATACAAGAACCTACTTAACTTGCACCATTTGTGAACTCTTCAAACACTCCTTATTGATTTCCCCTTATGTATTGAATGTGTAATCCTCAGGTAAATCTTAAACTTAGATGGGCAGAGATGAGAGTCTGTGTCCCTCAGACCTGCTGCCCTTACAGAACAGGTACTTGGCACCATGTGTACAGTGTTTGGTTAATATGGCCATATGGTGACTGTTAAGCTATAGCTTTAGCTCAGTTTCAGGAAATGTGCACTCAACACATTCTTATGTGAATACTATCTCTCAAGGGGTGAAGATTGGTTCATGCATTGGCATGATCATAACAAAAATCTCAGCTATGGCAATGACTGTGGCCTCTGAAAGTTTAACACTATCCAGAAAATCTTACTCTTTAGTGTCTAATTTTGTGCAGATGAGTGGGTGTGACCACCAGGAAAAAAAACCTAAGGAGATTTCACTGGGAAGAAATAGCCAAAAAGAGTCCAGAGGACACTGGTTCGGTGGTGTGGGAAGCTGAAGCTCAGCAGGAAGACGGCGGTGTGAGAATTTCATAATGAATGTGGCCGTGGAAAGCACGGGTGAGTGAACTGAGCACTCAGTCTAATCTTTCTTGCAAACCTCTGTAGCAGGTGGGGTCCCACTGGCCTGAGAGCTGTGCTCTGAGTGGTTACGTACTTACTCTGGGGAAAGCGGGGTGGGTTATCATTGACATCTGAGAGGGTGATGTTGACTGTTGTGGTTCCAGCTAATCCTCCGAGCTGCCCTCCCATGTCCTTGGCTTGGATAATCACTTCATAGTATTCTTTGGCTTCTCTGTCCATGTTCATGAGTGCTGTCCTAATTACACCTACAGGATAGAAATGATTTTGTTTTTAAAAAATAAAACCACATGTCTAGTTTGTAAAAGACTCATTTGTAGGCTTTTCCCTTGTGCTTCGTAAATATTTAACACTGAAGTGCATGTCACCGCTTTTATTAAACTTGAGGGTAAAATCCAGCTTCAGAAAAGCACATGCTGAGACAAAGAGTGAGGAAGTAGTATCTCAGCAGGAGGGGCTAAGAGGCTGACTTCCTTTGGCAATGTTCCTGAGAGAGAACGGGAGGTGGCAGCAGTGATTTTCTTACAGACTTGGGGAATTGTGTCAAAGGCAAATGTGGACTGCTCTGTCTCACCAAGGAAAACTGGGACTTTGAGTTCAGAAAACAAAGCTTCATATGTCTACAGATCTGTGATTTTTAGATTATTCTTCTTCAGCGCTTTCTCCCTTTAGGCCCCTAGAGGCTTGAAGCGTGAATGACTCTTTTTTAGATAACTGGCTCCTATTCTGATTTTCCCTGCCTCCCCACCACCTGTAAGTAGGGTTGAAATTCTGGTTAGACTTTCCTTTGTTACATATTCACTCTATTTTGTTATGTTTTGCTTACCTCTGTGCCTCACTGAATCCCCTAAGCTCGGACACAAAAGATGCACTGTGAGCTGTTTATTTTTACCATGCATAAAAGATGAACTTCCCCAGACAGTAACAGCAGCACAGAGGTGTGATGGTGCGGCTTTGTCTGGAGAAGAGGGGTCTAAACCAAATACACAAATTTGGAATTCAGGGATATGCAGAGATTTTTATCTTTTTAACCCTTCAGCTTAGGAAAGTTGACTTTCACATACCCCAGGAGAAGATGAAAGCTTATTTTGCTACAGGTTTATGACATGACCCCTTGGCTAAACGGACCTTTTACATGAAAGGGGAAGGGTCTGGGAATAAAAACCTGCCCTGGTTTCCTCCTATAATGTATGTACTGCATTTAATGACAGCATTCTAAAATGAACTATGCAGCGGTTTCTTCTTTTAAATGCCTCATGGGCACACCAATAACTATTGTTGCGTGTATTTTTGACCTTAACACTATAGATGCCCTTGGGTACTGTAAAAATAATGTAAGATACTTCTTAGGCTATAAAGGACGTGTTACCCTGTTTCTGTTGTTTTTCCTTCCTGTGGGCAACACTTCATTCTCTTCCTCTTCTCCCATAAGTAGAATTATTGAAGTTGCTGTTTCATGGATGTTTCTAACTACAATCTTTTTCTCTTCCTTCTTATTAATTTATTGTTCCTCATTTTCTACCTTTATGATACAATTTTCTGAATACCTGGATACCATTAGGACTTCTAGGGGAAAATTCTATCAGGTTGCTAAAGAATAGTACTATATTTTTTTTTCTTTTTCAAATAAAGAGGTGTCTTTGACTGCTCACCGTTGACCACCTTTCTGCGTAAGTGTGCCTGTGTTGTGCCCTTGGAGGTCACAAGAGGGTGTTGGATCCCCTGGAACTGGAATTATGGACAGTTGTTGGCCACCATGGGGATGCTGGGAATTGAACCTGGGTCCTCTGCAAGAGCAGCTAGCGTTCTTAACCACTGAGTCATCTCTTCAGTTCTAAGTTCCATCTCTTAAGTCTTGGTTTTCCCCTGTATAAAGTGGGACTAATGATACTGCCTATATGCTTTACAGGGGAGATTTAAAAAATGGTAATATTTATGAAAATGCTTGGAAAAGAAAAATCCTGGCACAAGTGCTGTAATGATATAGCAATTATTCTGCCCAATGCAAAAATGCTAAAATGGTTCCTCTTCATAGATTAAAACATACATTCTATAGTCAAAGGTCTTTGAGACAAATGAAGCTGCCCAGCTTCTCTTGGGCTCTCCTTTTCTGCCATGTTGATGTTTAACAATTCTGTTCTCTTGGCCATCCTCTCTTGTTAGAGCTTCCCCATCAGGACCTGCCTTTTTAGGGACCACATCCCATGTATCCTTTCCTCTTTCATCAAAATCTGTCTGCTCAGCAGCCATTCATTCTAGCCTTGAGCTCTGCTTAGCAAAGGTTGACTCAGCAGAGAGAATGTCAGACCCCATGGCAAGGGATGTACCTAAAATCATGTGAACCTGGTTAGCACTTCACTTCCCAATTTTCCTATCCATTAAATGACTGATGCTGAGCTGGATGATTACCCCATAGGCTCTTTCTTGTTTCAGAGTCTGTAATTATAGCTCTAGAGCAAGCCCAGGTCAATGTGTCAATCTTCTTTTGTCTTCCTGGAGTTACAAAAGACTTTGGACCCTGGGAAGATATTTGGGATTTTTGGAGGCTAGTGAGGAACTATTTGTGTGTAGGTAGGGTTTTGGCCTCCCCAGCAGCCCAGGCACACTGTTTTTGCATAGCGTTGCTTCTACCCACAGGCAGTGCTAGTGTACTCTCTTAATCCTAAAGCTTAGAACAGTCTTCTCTGCTTAATATACTCACTGGAGAGACCATGAAAAGGAGACTTGGGTCCATCCTTAAGTAGGAGTTAGAAAGGGTTATGGAAGAAACAAACACCTGTAACTTGACTCTTTCATTGGATACCTGTTTTGGAGTCCACAGAAAAATATGGCTGGCCCTGAAGAATGCTGTACACTACTCGGGCACTGTTCCCGTAGGTTGGGTCATCAGCATCTGTGGCTGTTACTTGGATAACAGAGGTACCTGAGGGAGAGAAGTTGTGGAAATCAGTTCAAGTCCAGCTGTCAAGGTCTGATTGTGATCCTGAGTGATCATCCTTCAAAGCATTTTGTGGATGTTATGTTTGCTTCTCTGGGAGAATCTCCTTTCTACATCAAGCTTCCCTAATTCCTACCTTGTTATTTAATGGGGATGATAGTCATTTGTGTTTCAATCCTTAGTAAGCACTAAAGTCAACACCACCTTTGGAGTCTTCATTGTTCTTTGTGAATAACCAGTGTTTCCCATTACAAATCATATATCTATCAACAGTCTAATTTTATTTATTATTAAAGAATCAGAACTAGAAGACATTGTATGACTTATTACTATTTAAAATGGTTGATTCCAATGTCCACATAGCTTCCTGCCTGCTGAAGGACTTAGTGGTCATTTGGGGTTCAGTTTTCTGATTTCTGTACATGTTCTCTTCTGTGCCTATACAGGAGGATCTCCTATAGGGCATCTGCTATTTGTGAACATCAGTGTATCACCAGCTTACCTACTGGTGACATTTCTGGCACGGTGGCGACATAAGGTCCATCTAGGAACCTGGGCTCATTGTCATTGATATCTTGGATTTTGATGATGAACTCTGACTCTGGTTCCATTGGCCGGCCTGTTCGCCTGTCTAGGGCTTGAGCCCTTAGAGTGTACTGGGCTCTCTCCTCTCTGTCGAGCCTCTGAATGGCATGGATGTCTCCAGTGGTATCATCAATGGTAAATACGATGCCTGCGCCCTCTCCTGACAGGATGTATTTGATGGAACCATCTCCCCTGTCCATGTCTGAATGAAGCTGGGAAGCAAAAACATCAAAACCTCATTATGGATATGAACAGGTATTGGAAATAAATTGATTTTCACTTTGGTACAGACTTATGCACCAAAGGAATGTTTTGTCATTCAAATGTTTATAAAGCCTGAAAAGAGCTCCTGTGTTTTGAGTGTTATTGTATCAAAGAGCAAGTACACATTTTCTATATCATATTTAGTGTCTTGATCTTAATATTTTAAAATTACTATCTTTGAGAAACATAACAATCTCTAGAAAGTATGGGTCCTTGATGTGTGAATAGGAAAGGAAAAACCCATTATTAAAGGGAGAAAACTTTCTTTTCCATTTAAGAAAAAGAAAATAGACAAGTCTAAACATCTTAAAGTAAAAACTAAATTGGCATAGGTAAGGTAATTTCAATAGTATATAAAATGTTTATGAAAATTCAAATTACCTTAAAAACTGAAAGAATGACTCATTAAAAGGCTAAAAGTGGGGCAGGCAAGAAGGCTCAGTGGTTTAAGGCGCTTGCTGCCAAGTCTGATAACTTGAGTTTGATCTCTGGAATCCACATGGTGGAAGGAGAGAACTGGCTCCTGAAAGTTGTCTTCTGACTTCTACATGCCCATGTATATAAACATACACACACACACACACACACACACACACACACACACACTCATACACACACACACGCTAAACTAATACAAATTATAAGAAGAATTAAAGGGTATTCTTTGGTATTTTGGAGACAGGGTCTCCCTGTAACCCCAGCGGAACTCACTATGTGGACCAGGCTGGCCTTGAACTCACAGAGATCTGCCTGCCTCTGCCTCCCGAGTGCTGGGATTAAAGGCACACGCCACCACACCTGGCTAAGACTGCTGTATTGGAAATACCATGCGACTCTAAGTGACTGAGACTCTACCTCCTGAGTTAAGTTTCAGGTGTCAAATGGACTTTAACTGATGATTTTTCTTTTTCAAACAGCAGTATCTCCTTTTGGCAGGACTCTTGAGTTTAACTGATTTATTCAAATCTGTATGTGGATGGGCCTGTTAGAGAAGTGCGTCTCTGTCTATGCAACTGTATTCTTCTTAGACTCTTTATAATAACTTCTCCAAAGGCATCCAGGAGTACTGTTTTTACTCAAGCCTAGAAACACATTTCTTTCTTAATAACTGTAGATAATCTGTGTGGACCACTAGAACCCTGGAACTCTGTGTTATCCTTTAAGTAAAGGTCCTTTTCCAAAGGAGAAAAAAATCATTAAATGTAGTAAGCACCACCAACTCTGTTGCTTCCTTTGTTTTCAGCACTTGCATAGTTCAGCAACAGAGTTCACAAGATTAATTTATAAAACAGATAACCAGTGTTAGGCCTAGGGTGGGGAACCAAATATAACTGACCTGAACATGGTCTATGTCAGTTGTCAAGTGAATGCCCTTGACATGTTATTTACTGTCCATAACCCTTAATTTTCTCATATTATAAATGGAGAACAGCATTAATACTTATGCTGAAGGCTTACTGGGATCATTAGAGATTAATGAATGTAAGGCACTGAGCACAGTTCCTTTCCCATAATAAGAAAGCTATAAATGGGACTGCTTATGGTGATGACATACATGCAGAGAGAAAAGGGTATAACATACCCAGCTCTTCTCTGCTCCCTTCAAGCCTCCAAGCCAAACCAAAGTGGAGGCAGAGCTCAGTGGCCAGGCTGCAGGCAGCACTGAGAGGCACTGCCTGCCGTCCAGAGGATTAAGGTGTAGGGACAGCAGTGTGACACCTGGAAGTGCATTCACAGCCTGCTCAGATAGGGACAGCATCAGAAGCTGGGACTGGCTTTGAGCTGAGGGCAAATTGACTCCTGGCCAAGTCATGCAGCCTAGAGGAACCCAGCTGTGTCTTATCTAGAGAAGGGAAATAAGAGAATAAAATCGTCCAAAAAGTAGCTTTGAATTTTTTTTCTGCTTAAAATATTCTATATAGAATACAAAGTCTTCATATTTCTTTATTCCATATACATTATCACCACAATTTTTTACAACTCATGTCTTCTATTTATGCAGTTTAAAAAGCAAAAATGTGCCCAGACACATTGTGTAAAAGAAAAAGACATTTAGTTTGGAACTGGGCACAAAGAAGTGCAAGCCATTCCATTTGGAACTGTTCTTCCCGGCAGAAAAATGGAATTGGGGGGAGAAAGACAAAGATCTCAGGAATGTTTTGAATTATATGAGAAAAAGAATTTGCACATATAAGGCATATGACATTGGATGTGCAGTGAAATAGGTTAATTTAGGGCATGACAAGTCATGGTGGGCATAGAGGCTGACACAGCATGCACTGGGGACAGTTTTGAGGTATTCTGTTTATGACCTAAAAACTTTTGGCATGTGAGCCTTAAAAGACTAATCGCACTTGATATCATAGGCCAGCCTAAGTGCTTTGGCTTTGGAGTAGGCTTAATAAACATCAGACCCAAGCAAGGTCACTACTGCTGAGGAGGAGACCATCCTTCCTGAGTTTGATGAGGCTGGCTGAAGTCAGGTGGAATCAGGGCTGAAGTTTGGATTTGCTCTCTCTGCTTTCCTCTGCAGTGGGAGAAGTGGGGGAACCTTTGTACACTCTGAATTCCCTGAAGGTACAGACTATATGACCTTGGTGTGTGCCCTGGTGTGTAGTATATGCTCAGTAAAACGTTCTTAAAAGAACACTGTAGGGTCAGGCTAAAGGTTTTTGTGCAACCATGTTATCTTTATTTTATTTTTTCTTTGGTCTTTTTGAGACAGGGTCTCCCTGTAGCCCCAGCTGTCCTGGATTCACTATGTAGACTAGGCTGGCCTCGAACTCACAGAAATCCGCCTACCTCTGCCTCCCAAGTGCTGGGATTAAAGGCATGCGCCACCATGCCCTGGGTTAGTATCCTTCAGTTGGCTTTTGAATGTGTCTATAGGTTTGCAAGGGGAGGGGAGAAGGGCTCCTACAGTGCCAGATGAGGGGCTATGAAGGGAGGTTACACAGAACTGATTCCTGAAGAATACAGTTATATGTGCCCAGGATCCTGTCAGGGAACAAGACCCACATCTGTTAGTTATTTTAAAAGCACTGATGATGGGGGGCGGGGACTGAAAAGGCAAGAGAGAAAGGAAGTATCAGAGCCATGGAACTCCAGGAAAGAGCCAGGACCTTCTGGCAGGGGCAACAGGCAGAGCATCTAAAAGTTATAGGAGGCACCACTTGAGGCTGGTCCTGAGGCCTCTGAAGAGAGCGTACTACCTGGGGGTGGGTATTCAGGGGCTTAGGTGAGCCCTTTCCATCAAGTCCTGGAACTAAAGCCTCTGAGAAGGGGGTGCCACAGGTAGCATTGGTATTCTTGAGGGAATGCGATAGGGTTGGGAGTTTGAAAAATCTCCAGACTAGGTTCAATGGTGGAATAAGGGAACAAGTTGTTTATCTTTCTTCTAGCCTCCTACCTTCCCTCTGGTACATTGCAGTTGGGAAAAGATAAATCATGGCATTAGTGTTCCAACTCTGATCACAGAGTGGAGCTTGGAAAGATGATGGTAGAATTGAGGGACACTAAGGAGCTTAAAATCAACTCAAAAATATGCATGGAGTATTTGGATCTACAAGCCACAGAATATACATTTGGTTGTAGAAATTGCCAGGGAAGGACATGAACAGTTTTTTTTAAGTCACTTAGAAAATTGACAGTGCAATAAAAATATTTTACCTTTATTCAACTTAATTCCAGCTAACACAAAGTGAATTTCAGCTATGACACATAGTTATATTTTGGGAAAACATTCTCCTCTTTCTCTGAAATCTCTGACCCTGAAATCGTGATGGATGGATGACTATTGCCTTTGTACCTTTTGTACCTTGTAAATCTCTACACTTTAAGATCTTTAGCCAGAAGAGGAGAGAATACTGGGAACTACATACAAATTCTCAAAAACAATTTTAGTTGATATAGGATTTCGTGAACAGGTGATTTTCACTGTGTTTGTCATCCTTCTGAATGTCTGGTGATCTGGTAAGTGTTTACAATTGTGCTTAGTCAGTGACTGTATGAGTTGGACCCACAGATTTGTACACAAGTGCAAACTCTGCATCCACCTCTTTGCATATGTCAATACAATCTAGCTTTAACTGGACACTGCCTTGTTTCTAGAAAACCCAGTGTGCATTTGATAAGGCTATACCAGCTACAGCTGATAACTATTGCAATACTCCTTCCTGAAGTAAGCAAGTACTCTGGCAGGCTCTCTAAACAGACATCTTCTAGGGCTCAGAGTGACAAGCTGGCCATCCCTGGGGTAAAGAGGATGAAAGGTGGATGGATTCTCTCTCAAAAAGGACAGAGGGGAAACATGCATGGGTGGGTGAATTTACAAGTACCTTCTGTGTGTGGAGTGACACAACAGTGCAGGGGAAAACCCAGCATGCTGACTGGGACAGCTGACTGGTGAGAAGTGTAGGGTCTGTGTCCTGAGTTGAGCATGGTTACTCTTGAGGGTGTTACACAGCTGTATCTCCCAACATCAGTGATTGGGGTTCAGGAAGCAGCCTTCTTTAGATTCCTGATCCCACATCACTAGTCTAGGTGTTGTTAAGGCTAAGGTTCAGTCACTGGCCTGCTACTTGAAGAAAAATAGAAAAAAAAAAACCCACATAACTTCAGGGGAAGAGTGACTGCTATTGAGATCTGGGCATTATTTGCAGTCAGTGTGACTGGATGGTGAATAGAGCTTCCCTAACGCTAGTTCTCTAGGTTGATTATACTTATCTCACAGCATAGTGATAATGAGCAGATGGCGTGCTTTACACGAAGGTGACTGACACAGCATGGCCTTAGCCCCCCGCAATATTAGTTGCCCTTTTCTCTCTGCACTTTTGTTTTGGCCACTTCTGCACTGGGTCTGGGAGATCTGGACAAGGTTAGGGCACAGCACTTCCATTTCTGTCTTTTGAAAGAGTGGAGGGAATTCTAAATCAGATGAGACTATAAAGTAACTACTGACTACAAATACATTCTTTAACTTACTTTAGTAATAACCGCATTGTATCTACTTTGAAGGACTGTTTTACAAATTCCAAGAAGCTGGGTCTTTGGGATTTGGAGGAGACTGAAGAAGTGGCTTTTGGGTGAGACCCTGAGGATTCTGAATGCTGCTTGAAAGGGGTGGCCACAACCTGTTAGGGCAGCAGCGTGGGCACACAGCTGTGTGAGTGTCAGATGAGGGGAGACGACTGCAAGAACTTCTACCTTGGCTCTGATCTGAGAAAGTGTGAGCAAGCCTCTAATGAGGAAGATGTCCTTGAACCATATGCTTCATCAGAAGGTCCACGTGGGTGCTTCCAAGGGGAGTCAAATGTCCCCAGAGGAGTCATTCCACAGGGGACAGGATTGTACCTGCTCAGTTAATCTAACCATAAGAAATAGAGAACCATAGTAATGAAGAAACTCAGAGAGGAAGATGTAAATCTGAGAGAAACTGGCAAGGTGATGTAGATAGCTATGGTAACTAATTGTACATGGAGGGTAAAGAAGATAAAACAGAAGTAAAGGAAAGATTTTGAGGGCATGGGTGTTTGCTACAGCATTAAGCATGCCTTGGCAGCTGCTCCTTTCCAGAGTGAACTCTCTATACAGCTGTTGCTGCTACTGAGAACTACAAAGTCACCATAAGTAAATCTCACAGATGCTGTGCTGAGCTCTTCATGTGCGTCAGCTTATGAAGTTCCTGCCACCCTTTAATTACATACCTGTTTGGCCATCTTCTTATGTGGCCAGTGCCATGTTAAGTCCTGGGGATAAAATGGGAACAGTACTCTTGCCCTCATGGAGCTTCTAGTCTAGTCAGAGGCTTTAAATACTGAACATGTAAGTGAAAAGCACTGTAGACTGTGAAACAAACATTGGTGAGATACTCTTACAGAGGCTTCCTTAGAGAGGGGCCCAGGAGAGTTTGGGCTCCAAATGAGCCCAGACAGAGGAAGGGGTGCCCACTCTGGGAGAAGCCATGGGAAGTGCATTTCACTGTGGAGGAATGAGTCAAGAAACATCTTATTTGTGGGAAGTGCAGAAGGTCATGTTCCTGGAACCCTAGGACTAGGGAAAGAGTAGCATAAGAAGTGTCTATACTCTAGAGGCAGCAGGGTGAATAAGCTCTAAGAAAGTATATGGAGGACTTCTGTCCCTTTCTATGTGAAGAGGGACGAGACTTAAATAAAGGAGTGATATAATCTGAGTTTTACAAAGGTCTTGTGTAGAGAATATGTTGGAAGTGCAGGTAGGCAGGAAGAGATTGGTTGGGAGGTCAGGTAGATATTTACCTAGGTGAAAGAAAATGGTGGAAGTAGAGGTTGGAGAGATGAAGGGTTTGTATTTATTTGGGCACAGGACCAACAGAATTTCAGGAAGAGAGAATGTAGAGGCTGAGAAAGAGAAAAGAGACTACTAGGTCTTTGCGTGTGTGTGTGTGTGTGTGGAGGTAGGTCAGATGACAACCTCGCTTTCTACCTTGTTTGATACAGGGTCTGTTCTTCATTGTTGGATGCTGTGCACTCTAGGATAGCTGGCTCATGAATTTCCAGGGAGTCTTCTGTTTCTATCTCCCTCATTGTAGGAATTACAGGATTACAGATGCATGTTAAGACATGCATTACAGGAATTACTAGGATTACAGATGCATGTTAAGACACATGGCTTTGACATGAATTCTGGGGATTCTAGCTCAGATAGTCATCCTTATGTGCTAAGCACTTTATCCACTGATTCACCTCCCTAACCAGACTACTTGGTCTTTGGTCTTAGGAATGGGGTGTTGGCAATGTTGAGACAGGAAAGACTGGGGCAGCATTGGTTTGGAAGGAAAAATTAGTTTCTTATGTGATATTTAGGTCTATGGGTCATAAACGTGAAGATATCACACATACAGCAGGATTAATGAGTCTAAGGCTTAGATGAGTGGTTTTAAGAGAGAGATGGAGGCTCTTCATTTATTGACCTAGAAATGATAGTTAAAACCACAGGCATGTCAGATCCACCAGGAAACAAGTATGGCTGGGAAAGAGTCCTGGGTAAAGCAGATAAGCTCACAAGTGAGAGGGGTTCAGCAAAATGGAGAAAGCCAGCTATTGAGGCTGCAGTAAAGAAGGAAAGTGGGATTGTGATACTCATTAACACTGAAATGGGATAGTGGGTTCAAAAGACTAAGCCAGCAGTGTCCAGGCTGTGCCTGGGAGGTTTTATAAAGTGAAGTCATTGGGTGGGCAAAAAGGAGGTCCTGAGCCATAGTGGAAATACAATTTCAGGGCTGTGGTGGGGAAAGCTCCAGGTACCTGGCCGAAGAAAGGAGTGGAAGGGGCGGAGGAGGTGGCCCAGTGACCTCTGTGGCACTACACTCAGATGTGCACATTCACACACACACACACACACACACACACACGCACACACACACAATTAAAAAATAAAAATGAGTCTTTCAATAAGAAGACAGGAGTGACAGTCAACTGTTGAGACTGTTGAAGACAGGAGTTCACAGGGCTCTCTTGGAGCACCTTTCAGGGCTGGCCATGGAACCATGTATGTTTGTACCTAAAACTCATGTTCTTAACCTTGGTGCTAAACAAGTGTTTAAGTTATCATCTGAATGAATTATTTATTTTTTAATTAATTCACTGTCTCCCATTCTCTCTCTCTTCATTGCTTTCACAAGCTGGTCTCTGATTAACATCCAAATAAAGTAAACATAGCAGAAAGCCAGGATTAAAAATGAAATGATAGAGAAAAATCAAGGGACTTTGTATACAAAGTTTATAAATATATTCATTGATTGTCTCCATTATCCCAAAACATAGGACATTCTGAAAGGAAGAATGTTTCATCCTTTTTTGATGTTTTTGTTTTTATTTCTCATTAAACTTAGGCCTCAGGCTATACCTGTGGATGAGCTTTAGAAAAAAATAAAACACAACAAAATATGAAAGTTCTACTCTCCCTTTCGCATTTCTGTTTCTCCTTTCCCATTCTGCTATTTTCCGAAGATTGTTGCTGCTTCTGTTGAAGGTTGAGTGGCTACTGCAAAGTTGCTATGTTTGACTTTTTCTTCAAAACATGGTACTAGTTTTTCCCACTCTGAACAGAGGCATAGAAAAGGAGAAAAATGTTTCTGACTGGTATCCAACAAAACAAAAAGCTGTATTTTAGAGGGTCAAGTAACATTTTTCTTGGTTCTCAGACAGGTGAATGTTTGTACTCCATTCATGGTAACATCCAATTTCAACAATATGTACCCCAAGAAGTTTTCTTGCTACTGGGTGTGTCTTACCTTGCCGACATACAAAGGGTCTGTCCCAGTGTACTCTTCCAGCACAAAAAACTGGTTCCAAACCCAGCTCCTCTTGGTTCGGTGATGTGACTGTTGCCTGTCTGAGGTGAGTGATTCTAACTGGTCTCGTGGTATTGGGGTGCTGGAGAGAACGGTGGTCGTAAGGTCCATCAATCCCCAAAAGTACAAGGACATGCCAAGTCCAAGCCAGCTCTTTGCATTGCTCATTCTACCCGAAGTCCACATGGGATTGCAGGGGTTCCAAAAGTAAAGCGCAGGGTGCCAAGCCACCGGAATGTATTATCAAAATTAAAAAAAAAAAAGTCACACCAGAGTTTATTGGATGGTTACTGCTTCCTGAACGAGATCCAAGTCAATCTCCTTGAAGTTGAGCCTGTCAAGTTAAGGAAAACAGTGTGAGGAGATTCCTTCTCGTGGACTTGCAAGTTCTTTAGATTGTCAATAAATATTTAGCTTTCTACTCTGTGAACTGATGAGTCAACTGGTTATCAAGTTAGAAATGCCTTGCTCATAAATAATATTTCAATACAAAGAGCACAATACATCTTGCTATAATCAGGTCAAAATATCTGGATCTGGGTTCTATGACAATAAAACTAGTGAATAACTTTCTTCAATGGTGGCTTAACTTACTGTGCTATTGATTGGTTTGAAAAATTAATAGCATATTCTTCAAAATATGTATTATCAAAAAGCCCCCTAAAGCCTTAAAAATAGCATTCCCTTCTAAAATTTATAGCTAATAACTAACATTTTTTATTAGCTCAACTGATCTTCTTGGCTTATTAAAAAATAGCAAAATTGAACTTTTTTCCCCTTTGCTACCCGCAATTATCTTATGCCTACCCGTTGCTGATAATTCTCTGAATCGTGTGCTTCATTTATAAGCAGCCATGGATCACTTCTGACTTTAATCATTCTCTGAGCTCATGAGAATTCAAGTTTCATACTCTACAGCTTCGGCTTTGAGGCACTGATAGGGGCTTCTAATGTGACCTTTCTAGGATGTGAATGGTCAGTTAATCATTACATCCTTCACAGAGGACTTTAGAGTGCTATTAGTCATATGCCACCCTGAGTAAGCTAAGAGTCGATCCAACAAATTTCCTTTCCTGACCCGAAAGACTCATTTAGGCAAAGGAACGTTAACTTCCACCCGGGGGACACCTTTTCATCAGTCAAACTTCTGTGACTGTGGAGTCAGATTTAGCCTCACTCTTGGGCTATGACCTCATCAACCTTTTTTCTTCCCTTCCTTGGCTGGGTTTAATTAGGTAGCATTGCACTAGAGCTACTCATCAAAGCAACCGAAATGTTTTTCGTGGGCTTAATATTTTCACTGTTAACTTGAAGAACGGTTGTCATGTGTAGAACAAATGTGTATGCTTGAGAATTTCAGGTCTGCCACAAAATAGTGCTCCTTTTCTGAAAGCGCCTTAAAATGAATGCACTGATGCTAACTCAGGTCCCACCTTCCACCTGTTATCATCAGAACTGGTTTTAGCATTTTCTCTAACACTGTTGAAATATGCAGAAGCTTAAAAATCATTTTGTACAATGTCATTTCATTTCTGCATGAAAAATCATTCCAGTGAGACCTGATAAAGAGGAAAAATCTGAGAAAACCATTTTTGCAACAGAACAGGAGGTTGTATGTTTTTGAGTTCTAACACTAAAGATAGAGTGTTAAGAAAAAGCTAGCCAGGTGTACCTTACTTAGGGTGATATGTTATGGTACTGATAGAATGTGAGTTACCAGATATTAACAATTCCTTCTGTCTTTGGACTCAACAACAGAAACCCAGCTCATGTTTCTCTGATCCTTGTCTAAGGGGAGGTGTTATAGAAGGAAGACACTTAATCCAGGAACTGAATTGATGAAAAGGATGGATGAGACACAGCTATGCTGTTTTAGGGACCTGAAAGGTGAACTGAGGGCATCACCAAACAAAAGAAAAACTGTGTCTGGAAAACCACAAAGGGAATGAATAGTCTATGTGTTGAAGACACTACTTCAGTTATCATTTCCCCAAGAGCAACAGGCTGAGTTAGACAGTTTGGTCCCTGGTTCTAGTTTCTTTATCTCTGGCTTGTCTCTACCTCAGGTTATCAAGACTGTGGTTTGAGCTCTGCCTCTTCGAGAGACTTCCCATATTCAGTATCTTTATCTGTTAAGCAGGGATGATGATTCTTCTGTGTATGTCCTAAGACTTTCTTGAGGATGTGATGGGATAATGTAGGTTAAGGTCAAAAGTGATAGCTGACTTTTGGAGAGTCCTATAAATTACCTGGGTCATATGTAAAAATAATGAAGATGAGCCTAAAACATATTTCATGGGCACAGTTAGGAGCAAAGTTGTACAAAGACTTGTAATATATATCATCCCACAGATCCCTACATGTGTGTTAAGTACTATTTGGTATCAGATAACTGACTCAATCCAATTTTGTAATAATCACCAATGTTTTTCTATATGAGTATATTTAATGAGGAGTTAGTTACTAGAAAACTCTAAATATAGAGAAAGTTCTTTTATGGATTGCATCTATTAACATAGAATGTCTTGCGTGTGTGTGTGTGTGTGTGTGTGTGTGTGTGTGTGTGTGTGTATTTGGTGTCTCAGCTTCCTATAAATACATGTCTTCTTAACACTTCCGGCTATTTTCTCTGGGTCACGTGAGAAGCTTGCTTTGGATGTAAGTGTACATATTCACATGTATGCAGGTGTGCAAATGTCCTCTACTCTGCATTCACTGGCTAAATTTAATGAGCAAAACAAGATTTAAAGAAATGTTGAAGGATTTTAAGTAATGACTCATTCTCCCATCTCTCATAAACTAGACATGTGGTCTTGCCAATTAAACCTTCCCGTCTTTACCTATAGTTGTGATATGAAGAGTTCTAGGAAAAAAATTCAACTGCCTCAGCTTTTATCTCCCTCTCTTGCCTACTTGGGCCTCCTACAGATGAGTGTAAAATTCTTATCTTCTTTCCTTTCACTGCACATGCACAAAGTGACTTTGGGGTCTCTAGGACCTGGGAAGCCCCCAGTGATTCTGTAAAAGCTGGTGGTCCCTGGACTCTCTCAGATTGACTAATAAAGACTGCTATGCCTGAAAAATCTTCCATGTTAAGGAACCGGAAAGTGATGGTTGATGGGAAGCAGACTATTGCTGCTTCCTCGGGGTGAAATGCATGAGAAACACTCCCTGACTAAATTTTCAGAAAGGAAAAGCTGGGCCATATAACAGTTGCACACTGTTCTTATCACAATTAGAGTTGTTTTCTACAAAAGAAAGGAAAGAAATCAGTCCTACTGGGATTACTAGCCGTTTTGCAATTAAAAATGATGGGGATTTCATGTTTGTTTTTTCCTATAGATATGAATAGATTATATGTTTGAAGGTATTTATTGTTCTTAAAAATGAAGATACTGACATGAATCTTTGTACATATAGGTCTGCTTTGGGAGGCTACACATACCACGTGAAGGCCACATTAATGGAAATTGACTTCTGTGTTAAATGAATCTTTTAAAAGTTTCTCCCCCCCCATCCTTCCTAAAGAAAGCAAACAGCTTGGTAATGAACACAGTAGGAAGAAATTAAAGTTGTACGTAAAGTGTGTTCTCAGTGAATTGTTTATTTCATTACTTCAATTCGTTGTGATATTTAAAATGTAGAGGAGGAATGGTTACTGCTTTCCTCCTGAAATGAACTGGGCTTTTATGGTCTTCAGATTATGTTATTCGTTATTCCAGTCTTCATGGCAATGGAAGAACTACTCAGAAAAGCTCAAATGAGGGCTCTGCAGAATTAGTTGGCTGTTAGTGACTCCCTGTAGGAAGGTAGGGTGCCTGGTGTGCTGATGTAGCCTGATGTCTTTAACGAAATACATGGAAACAGTGGTGCCACTATTTTTAGGCAGCTGTGCTTCTCAAGCTATCACACTGATTTTTATGAAGAGACTCAAAACTGTACTTAGAAGGAAAAAAGAAAAGAGAAACTTTATGGAGATCGTAGAGATCACAATGAAACATGACAGTGCACCATAAGGTGCCTCAACATTAAATCTGCATCCCAGCATCATTCAGCCTCTCAATCAATGGTCTCTTGAGAGTTGCAGGAGTCAGAATCCTTCAGTTTAAATTACAGAATCACCAGACAATGACATAAGTGGTCACAGGTGTAGGTAGGATTAAAGAGTTCATATGATGATCATATATCTAAAGATGCATGGCTTAGAAATAATAGCCCCATTATGGAATTCCATAAAGAAAATGGTTTCAGTGGCTTTGTACTTTGAACAACTCTGGATCTGTTCACCACCATGGGGATACCTTTGGAGAAGGGTGCATGGTATGATTTTGTATGCTGAAAGAAGAGACAGAGCTCTGACCAGAAGTCACTTTCATTTCCTACAAAGGACCCACTCACACCATTTCTTCCCAGTAGCTATTAGGTGAGTAGGAACACTAGCCTTCCTCATGGCCATCATCTCACCCACCCACCCCAAGCTCCCCACCCCCACCCAAACTTTCATGGATCCAGGATATCCCAGGTTAAAAACTTAATTTTTTTTTAAGTTCTGTTCTCACCACCCCCATCACAGTCCTCAAGGAAACATATTAGTAAATTAATGGTGTGTGCAGAATTGAGGAATTGTGGCATTAAAAAAAATGAACAGGCCAGGTTTCATGGTGCACACCTTTAATCCTAATCCCAGCTCCTGGGAGGCAGAGGCAGGTGGAGCTTTGTGAGATGGAGGCCAGCCCAGTCTACACAGAGAGTTCCAGGCCAGCTGGGTCTATAGGGAGACCCTGTGTCAGACAGACAGACAGACAGACAGGCCCTGTGTCAAACAAACAAACAAGCATATACATATACATATATATGTATATATATATAAACAAAGAGAACAGAAGAGTTACAAGAATACTTAATTTCCAGAGAGATTTCTTAGAACAAGGGGTCATCTTCGGTTACCTAATTTTCCATGAATTCTTCTCGATGTTTACAAAACCTGGAAATCCTGAGCATGAAGAACAGCTCTTGTATTCATTCAGACTCCCTTTCTCCTTCCATTCTCCAGTTTCTTGCTTTCCTTTTCTTCTCTTCAGCCAAGCTAGCTTATAGGACAGCATGCTGTCTCTTTACAAATGGAACTGTTGGGCTGTGGGGTTGATGTGGCAGGGACCAGGCATAGTCAGCTTCATTGAAGTTTAGAAGCACTGTCTAGTTTTAGATAAGAATGTGAACTTGTGTGTGTGTGTGTGTGTGTGTGTGTGTGTCCATGAGAATATGGGAGTGAAAGAAATGGAGAGATAAATGAGTAGCAAACTTGAATAGTATAACTCATAGCTGGCTTTGAAC